CCACACGTCGGACTTGATTTTAGTGGAGGTATTAGCCACAACTTTAAACTTTAAACTTGCTAGTTTTCATTTGAAACAGCTGCAGGAGATCGCGCACGTTTTTTGAAAATGAAAGTGGGAGAGATTTTTGGGAATGCGCGTACAGGTATAAACTGATGTGGATTTTACGTTTTATCATCTTGAATGCGGCGATTTTTTTTGTGTGTCACTTAAATATAGCCCTAAGGTATTTTTTTGTTGGCACATGATGTCTTGAAAACCGCAATTTAGACCTGCGGTCTCCTGCGCCCGACCCGAACCTGTATCCGACAAAGTAGAATATTTTTCACCCGTTTCATCAAAATTTGCGGGTCACCCATCGGGTACCCGAACCCATGCAGGACTCTGTCTGACAGGACCTTTACGGGAGAGATGGTCATACTAATATAGATGGAGTTATGACACTAGTCTAGTTGTATTAGTTTTGTAGCTTTTGTTTCTGTGTCTTGTTTTCTGCTTACCTACAGTTTACAAAACCAACCTGTGTTTTTAATATAAGATAAAGCCAGGGAAATTACCTGAACTGTTTTCATATTTTTTTCTATAATTACAGATTTGCACAATAAATATTCTACGTTCACTACTACTTTGAAATGTGTTAACAGTTTATTATACAACTTCCTGCTGCAATGCCTTTCCTATGGACATTTGTTACCCTTTCAAAAACAGTTATATTGAAATTTACAGATCAAATTATATACTGCAATATATACCGTCTACCGTCTATGGTTCAAATTATACCGCAATATGAATTTTATGCCATATCGCACAGCCCTACTATCAGCGATCAGTGGTGGCTTGGGCAGGTATCAGGTATCAGGGGCAGTGGTGGCTTGATGGTTAGGGTAGCGCACTTGTAATTGAAAGATTTCAGGTTCGAATCCCCCACCAGCAAGTCACCACTGAGGTACTCTGAGCAAGGTACCATCCCCAAGCACTGCTCCCCGGGCGCTGAATTAGCTGCCCCCTGCTATGTCACGAAAGTCACATATGGGTCAAATGCAGAGGACACATTTCGTTGTTGCGCACTGTGTGCTGTGGTGTGTTGACAATGACCACTGATCACTAAATTCTAATTCTAAGCTATCACTTTTAAAGCCTAACATTTAACTCTCTGGGGTCGAGTATGTCGTCGGCGACATCGCATACTTTTCGCGTCTATTGCAGTTTATATCTCGCTGAAATCTTAATGTAGAATCATGAAAAAAAACGCTGGCTAAATCCGTAATCTGTCTTCTTTTCAAAACGTCCATTGTCGGAAGTATTAAAGTTGTTTTAATTAGGTTAAATCGGCAAAAAAGTAAAACATGTCATCTTACTTTTTTACCTGCATCGGGGGCGTGTAGTACCGCTCTCACCCGAAGATTGCTATTCACATTCTAAATAGCCGCATTAGCGTGTATTCAGATCGCATTCGCATGGTAATTTGATTAACAGCGCAACGGTGAAACGCGATCCAGATACATCCCCTTCAGCGCCATAAAAGGGGGGTAGGGATGTGGCCAGGTGACAATGGCTCATTCATACACATGAAAGTTGCTACATATTCAATGAAAGGAGCCAGAAATAGTGACATGAGTTAGGTTTTTCTTATTTATTTATGACATATTTACAATATATATTAAAATAAAGATGAGTGTAATGGCGAAACAAATATATAAGAAATAATTTATTTGCCATGAATTAAGTTTATGATATTTGAAGAAATGTGTGATCATGCCCCAGTCAGTGAAAGTGTGTTTCCTACCCCTAGACCCCATAGGGTTAATGTATTTGCAGGTGAAAACAAACATCCACAATAGGCTGCTAGGAGACCATCTTGCAGCCTGTATGCAGTTCTCAAATGGGCCAGACGTTTCTGACTTCCCATATCAAGAGACTCTAGAAATGTTCTTCCAGAAGCCCAGAAAGATACACTGCAGTCACAAAAGCTACACACTTTGTGGATAATTGTCATAAAAAGAAATGTTCTAATGTTTAGTTCAGTTGTTATGTTGACTGTAGTCATTAAAAAAAAGTAGAACACCTCTGGGACATTATGTTTTGTTCCATCCCACGCCGCCAAGTTGCACCTCAGACTGTCCAAGAGATCAGTAGGCGCATGCTCCGATGTTTTCAGGCATGCATACAAGCACATGGGGGCCATACAAACTACTGAGTACAATTTTGAGTTGCTGCAATTAAATTTCAGCGAAATGGATTAGCCTGATGCATCATTCTTTCATTTTGATTTTCGGAGTATAGTCATATAGCCCTCTGTAGGTTGAACATTTTCATTCCTATCAAACGTTGTGGCATCATTTAGTTCCTAACACATTACCCAGTCCATATCAGCATAGATATCCAGCATGATTTTTTTTCCCATTGAGATCTGATATGTTCTCAAAGTGTTCCTTCAATTTTTTTGGGCAGTGTATACACTCTAAAAAATCATTCATGGTGATAGTAGGTAAAACTTAAAAAAGAAAAGGTTTCTAACATTAAAAAGTCACGTTTGTCAAATGTACATATTTTAGTGAGTCAGTGAAAAATAAAAATAAAAAACACTTCCTTAACTTAATTATTTAAGTATCTTAAATAAATCATTTTATCACCACTCAACAAGATAAATTATTAAGCGTGCGCAACTTGTATAATTGAGTTCAGCGACGTTTGAATTTCCCGCGCCATTTAACACCACAGTGACCACACATAAAGGAGAAACGAAGAGGAGTTTGTGCTTCATTTGGATTACGTTACCCAGGTAAGTTTATTATTTTACAATGAGTTTATTGGCAAAATATCGTTTTCACACTGCAGAAAAAACTTAGCCATGTTAGGTGTAATTTGGCGTAAAGCTGACACAATTCCATATAGCTCACAGTTTCTTTTAGCTTGCTAACACGGTAATAAAAATATTAATCTGTATTGGATTTGTTTCGGAGTGGCAGCCGAATGAGGTTAAGTAACATTTAATTTAAGTTGCACTAATTGTGACACTACAAAAGTAAAAGGGTAATGGGTATTTTTCAATCGTAATTTACAGTTGATATTCAGTCAGTTAAGTTTCGTCAGTTAATGACTGCGTGGGTACGTGAGGTATTCAGACACAGGAGGGAAAACCCGTGTAAAAGTTCAGCGCGGCCATGTTCAGCGTTGTCGTTGCGTGTTCGAGTAGTTCTTTGTTGAGTTACTTATACACTGAAAACACAGCAGATGAAATTCCCGCCTGAGTGCAAATTTTATTTTTCCTAAATTTATTTACGTTTTGATGTTCTAAGCCGTTTTGTGGCAAGTTAAAGTTGGCCACCCCAGCTAACATTCTTTGTTCAGCCTGATAAAGGCGGGCTGGGAAGGAAATTATTGTTTGTAATTACATTTAAACCTTATATTGACGCATAAAGCTGTGCAAGGATATGTTGTTTTGTTACTTAAGGCTTTTGTTGTAGACTAACTTCCGGTAGTATTATTAATGTTAAGGATAACTTAACTTTCTTAAGATGGTAAAGTGTTGAGTCAGCAGTCTTAAATTAGTTTATTTCAATTTCATTTCACGTGTCAGCCTTTTGTGACCTTATAATTAAAGTCTTATAATGAAATGACAAATTTTATTTAAGATGGTATGAATTTTACTTTTATCAGTGTCCCATAACTGGTTTTATACAGCAACTGGACACTCTATAACCACTAATTACAATAGATTTCAAAATGAATTGGACTTGTAAATTGTGCAAATTTGAAACCGTAAGAAAGACTGTGCTCTTAAAGCATTATAGACTTAGACATGCCCATGGTGGAGTGTTTATGCCTTGTCTATACTGGGATTGTTATTGCTCATTTAAAACATGGGGTGGGCTGCGAACCCACCTGTCGAGAAGCCATTTGTCTCGTGAAACAGAGGCATATTCAGAAGTGTTATCTTTCAAATGTCCATGTTGCTCTTTAAACACAATCTCCAACATATGGTTCTCATAGGAGCTGAAAACACACTCCTCACTCACTTGATGACTTCAAGTCTGAGCTTTTACAGAGGTATGTCAATCCTTTAAATGCAGGAGATGATCCTGTTGATGAACATACTGAGGGTGCACTGAGTGAAGACGAAGTAAGTGCAGAGGTTGAAGAAATTAGTGAGTTGCCCAATTTAATTGAGAGAAATTTAGCGCACTTATTGCTAAAACTGGAAAGCATATACAATGTACCTCACAGGTGTATTGATGAAATAGTGGAAGAATTGCAGTTCATTTCTTCCTCTGCTTCAGGTCCTATTCTAAAAGAGACTTTACGCTCAAGCCTTATGAAGCATAATTCTGAGGTTAATGATATAATTCTTTCAGATATGGTGGCAGAGCTCTGTAAGTGCAACCCAATTACACTGGCTCTTGGGACCAATGGTCCTCTTTCCACCTCTTACAAAAGAAGACAGTATTTCAAAGACAATTTTTGTTTAGTGGAGCCCACTGAGTATTTGCTCAGTGCTAGGGAACAGAGAAGCTTCCAATATATATCTATTTTTGTCATGACGATGAAGGGCACCACCCCCAGAAATTAACGCCACGCCTACCCGTCTATTTAAACCCCGCCCGGAGATCACTCCGTGCAAGGTATTGTTTGTTATGACACTTCCGAGCGATTCTAATCCCTGTCTCTGTTGCAGCTCCGCTCCACCCGATTCTCCCTACTCCCTCTGCCTGCGCCTCCTTCTCCTTCCCACCTCCCTCCTGACTAGCCCTGACCATCCCTCGTGGCTCCTCCTCGTGTGTCTTGTCCACGTCATCGAACAGATCTCCCGGTTTTCCGACTCTCCTACGCCCGGTTTCAAGACCTCCCTTCTGGATGCTCCTTTGGCTTTGATGAACTGTCTCGGACTGATCTCTGGTTTCGACCCTGCCTGTCTTCTGGATTCGACCCTGCCTCGCCCAAATAAAGGATTCCTGCTCTCACCCGGGTGTTCTGTCGTGACAGAATACCTCGCCCACATAATGTCGATGGAGGATCAGGTAAACCGACTTCAGGAACAGGTTCAGTCCATGACTGAGTTGGTAGGACAACTACTGCAGGAACGAGCTGCACCGGTGTCCCTCCCAGGTTCACCACCCCGATCACTGGTTCCGATCGCCCTACCAAACCGGTATGAGGGAGATCCCGATGCCTGTCAGGCCTTCCTGATGCAGTGTGGACTATATGTCACTCACCACCCTGCTCAATTTCGCTCTGAGGAGGATAAGGTCCACTTCGTGGTCTCCCTCCTGGGGGGTCAAGCTGTGACATGGGCAACGGCATTATGGGCAGAACGTAGCCCCTTGCTTCGCTCGTCCCGGGATTTCCAAGACGCCTTTCGGGCGGTCTTTGTTCACCCCGCCGTCGGTCGAAGCCTAGGTGACCGGCTTCTCGATCTGCGCCAGGGGAATTGCACCGCGGCAGATTTCTCCCTAGAGTTTCGCACCCTGGCTGCCAGGTTACAGTGGCCTGCTGACTGCCTCCAGGTCATATACCGGCGTGCTCTCCGACCGGAATTGGCCTGCAGAGGAGCTGCATGTTTCTTTGATGAATACGTGAAACTCTCCATCTCTCTGGACACCATCATCTGGGAACAACGACGATCAAGTCCTCATGCAGAACGATCCCTGGCCGCTCCCCCAGCTCGATCGGACGAGTCAGAACCCATGATTGTGGGACGTGCACCGCTGATGACGGAGGAGAGAGAACGCCGACTGCGAAGGGGTCTCTGCATCTACTGCGGTGAGACAGGACACGTCTTGCGCACCTGCCCTGTGAGAACCCCTCGACGCAACTCCAGAGAGACACCGGTGAGATACCTTCCTATTCCCTCTATAACACAAACCCAGATGACTGTACCTACTGAACTTATTTGGGCAAAAGGCAGGGTTCCACAGGTAGCCTTAATTGATTCAGGGGCAGCGGGAAATTTTATAGATAAAGATTTCGTGTTGACTAACAACTTCCCGATAGAAACGCTACCACAGCCCCTATGTGTGAAAGGGATAGATGGTGAACCACTAACCTCGGGTCGCGTTACCTCCTGTACTGAATCGGTATTACTAAAGGTAGGACAATGCCATAACGAGAGTATCCAATTTTTACTTATTTCATCTCCGAAAGACCCTATTATATTAGGGTTCCCCTGGTTGAGAGAACATGATCCACGGATAGGGTGGAGAACTGGTGAAATCCAAGCCTGGTCCTCACGATGCTTCCACGCCTGCCTGTCAGTACCCTGTCGAGTTTCTTCGGTAGAGAGCCCTCTTCCGGAGGACCTTTCCGTTATTCCCGAAGAATATCGTCGCTTTTCTAAGGTGTTCAGCAAGAAGGAAGCGTATGGTCTTCCTCCGCACCGCTCTTCAGACTGTGCCATCGACCTCCTTGATGGAGCTACTCTCCCTCAAGGTCGATTATACTCCTTATCTCGAGCGGAGGAGGCTATGCGGACCTACATCTCGGAATCGTTGGAACAAGGTATCATCCGTCCATCTACCTCTCCCGTAGCAGCCGGATTCTTCTTTGTGGGTAAGAAAGACGGTGGCCTTCGCCCTTGTATTGATTATAGAGCTCTAAACGCTATTACCAAAAAAAGACGCGAACCGCTACCACTTATCCCCTCCACCCTAGAACAGCTCCGTAGGGCGTGGATTTTTACTAAGCTTGATCTGCACAGTGCTTATAATCTCATCCGGATCTGTGAGGGAGACGAATGGAAGACGTCGTTCCTTACCAGTACCGGACAATACGAATATCTCGTTATGCCGTACGGTTTGGCAAATAGTCCATCTATCTTTCAGGCTTTTATCAACGACATTTTCCAAGATGTACTACATCGGTTCGTGATCACTTACATCGATGACATTCTCATCTATTCGGACAACGAAGCCCAGCACGTTACACATGTCCAGCAAGTTCTCCAAAGATTGGCTGACCATCATCTCTACGTAAAGGGAGAGAAATGCGAGTTCCATCGCTCCACGATCAAATTCCTCGGCTACCTCATACGACCAGGGGAGGTTGCCATGGACCCGAGTAAGATACAAGGTATCCGCGAATGGCCACAACCCAAAACAATCAAAGAACTTGAAAGGTTCCTAGGGTTCGCGAATTTCTACCGTCGCTTTATCCGAGGGTTTAGTGCGGTGGCAGCTCCCCTAACTAATCTACTAAGAGGAGGAACGAAGAGACTCGCGTGGTCAGAAGATGCTACGCAGGCATTCACCGCACTAAAGGAGAGATTCTGCACTGCTCCGGTTCTTCAGCAACCCGACCCCAACGAACCCTTCATCGTGGAGGTGGATGCATCAGAGGTGGGAATCGGAGCCGTGCTCTCCCAAAGAGATCCCCGATCAGGTAAGTTCCACCCTTGTGCCTTCCTCTCAAAAAATCTCAGCCCAGCCGAGTCCAATTACGACGTGGGAAACCGCGAATTGCTTGCCATCAAACGAGCCCTCGAGGAATGGCGACATTGGCTCGAGGGGGCGAAACATCCTTTCAAGGTTCTCACTGATCATCGTAACCTGCAATACCTGCAATCGGCGAGACGACTTAATCCTCGCCAAGCCAGGTGGGCACTTTTCTCTACCCGGTTTAATTTCAAAGTGTCTTTTATTCCAGGAACTAAGAACGTCAAGGCAGATGCTTTATCCCGCTGTTTCCCAAGTCATCAAGCCACCGAAGAACCAACATCAGTGTTACCTTCGTCTTGCTTCGTTGGACCCATCCAGTGGGACTTGGACCGACAACTGCAACAACACAACGAAAGACACACACCCCCCCATGAATTGCCCAGCTGGCCGTACATACGTACCATCTCAGCTACGAAACTCGATCCTTCAGTGGGTTCATACCTCCCTAGGCTCCAGACACCCCGGGGTAACGACAACAACCCGTCTCGTGGCTAAACGCTATTGGTGGCCGGGGTGGCATCGAGAAACCGAGATTTACGTCCTGTCCTGTCCGGTATGCGCCCAGAGTAAGTCTCCGACGCAACCTCCCGCCGGGCTGCTTCAGCCCCTCCCTATTCCCTCTCGTCCGTGGCCCCACCTTTCAATGGATTTTGTCACGGATTTACCTCCCTCGCGAGGACACACCACCATCCTGACGGTAGTAGACCGCTTTTCTAAAATGTGTCGCCTAATCCCTCTTCCTAAACTTCCTTCCGCCTTGGAACTGGGGGAGATACTCTTCCAGTGGATATTCCGCTACTATGGGTTACCGGAGGATATTGTATCAGACAGGGGTCCTCAGTTCACCTCTCGGGCATTCCGAGCATTATGCACCAAAATGAACATCAAAGTGAGTCTGACCACTGCTTACCATTCACAGGCTAACGGACAAGCTGAGCGGGTGAATCAAGACGTAGGTAGAGTACTTCGGACCCTCTGCTCGTCTTAGCCAGATGAATAGTCCCAGTTCCTGCCCTGGACAGAGTACGCACGGAATTCTCTAGTTCATTCGGCTACGGGAATAACGCCTTTCCAGTGTGTGTTTCCAGCCCCCCCTTTTTCCCTGGCAGTCTTCTTCCTCAGATGTGCCTGCCGTCGATCAGTGGTACCGACGTAGTGAACGGGTGTGGCACCAGGCCCATCGACAGCTGTCCCGACGGGCGGAGCAGACCAAAAAGCGAGCCGACCGACAACGCCGAACAGCTCCGATCTATAAGCCGGGATACCGTGTTTGGCATTCTACACAACACCTCTGGTTACCTCGGGTTCGTAAGTTGGGTCCTAAGTACATCGGTCCCTTTTGTGTGATCATGCTCGTGGGACCCATTACTTACCGCCTGCAGCTGCCCAGGTTGTACCGCATCCACCCGGTGTTTCACGTGTCTCTCCTGAAACCCGTTCGCTACAGTCTGGCTCACGCCCCCTCCGATGCTCAAGATCCACCGCCACAGATCCCTTTGACCGACGGCGACGCGTACGCGGTACACTCCCTCTTAGATTCCCGTCGCCGAGGACGGGGTCTGCAGTATCTCGTGGACTGGGTGGGATACGGTCCCGAGGAGAGGTGCTGGGCCCCCGCTTCCGACATTCTGGACCCCTCGTTGATCGCTCAGTTCCATGCTGGCCACCCTTCTCGGCCGAGACCCTGACCGGGGCAGACCGCCACGCTGCACCCGACCGCCGGGTGTCGGTCGTCAGAGGGGGGGCTCTGTCATGACGACGAAGGGTGCCACCCCCAGAAATTAACGCCACGCCTACCCGTCTATTTAAACCCCGCACGGAGATTACTCTGTGCGAGGTATTGTTTGTTATGACACTTCCGAGCGATTCTAATCCCTGTCTCTGTTGCAGCTCCGCTCCGCCCGATTCTCCCTACTCCCTCTGCCCGCGCCTCCTTCTCCTTCCCACCTCCCTCCTGACCAGCCCTGACCATCCCTCGTGGCTCCTCCTCATGTGTCTTGTCCACGTCATCGAACAGATCTCCCGGTTTTCCGACTCTCCTACGCCCGGTTTCAAGACCTCCCTTCTGGACGCTCCTTTGGCTTTGATAAACTGTCTCGGACTGATCTCTGGATTCGACCCTGCTCTCACCCGGGTGTTCTGTCGTGACAATTTTAAAGTCCTTGCATGAGGTCTTGAAAAAAGAGGAGATCCTAAATTTGCTCACACACAATTCTGAAACAGATTGCAACTCTGAAACTCAGTACAAGTCATTTTGTGATGGCAGAAATTTCAAAAGCAATAAATTGCTTTCAGATAACAATCCAGCAATTTCTCTTATTTTGTATGTTGATGACTTTTGAAGTGTGTAATCCACTTGGCACTTCAAGAAAAAAAGCACAAAATTACAGCAGTGTATTGGGTTTTAGCTAATGTACCACCATTGCTTAGGTCATCTTTGACATCAATCTACCTAGCCATTCTCTGCAAAGCTGCTGATATAAAACAGTTTGGTTATAGAGCTGTTTTTGAACCACTGCTAAAAGGTCTGACCAATTTAGAAGAAGAAGAACTTTACATTTCTTCATTAGACATGCGAGTCAAAGGCACCGTATTTTGTATTGTTGCAGACAACCTTGGCGCACACTCTCTCTGAGGATTTGTGGAGAGTTTCTCTAGTTCACATATCTGCAGGTTCTGTCTTGGAGAACGATCTCAGATCCAAGTACTGTAAGTGAAGTTAGAAGTGGAAACTTTTGTGCAAGGACAAAGGAAGAACATAGGGTGCATGTTCAGACTGCACAGGGAGACAAAAGTATGTCTCACTGTTATAGAGTAAAAGAACTGTGCCCAATAACTGAAAAACTAAAACATTTTGATGTTTTATCTGGCTACCCACCTGATTTGCTACACGACCTCTTTGAAGTTATTGTACCTTTGGAGTTGGCACTTTGCCTAAGTAGCTTAATCAAGAGAAAATGTTTCACTCTGGATGAACTGAATAAATTAATTAAAACGTTCCCATACATATGGGCTGATAAAACAGATGCTCCACAACCAATTCCATTGAATTTTGCTGCAAAAAAACTGTTGGAGGGAATGCCCATGAAAATTGGGCTTTGCTTTGCTTCCTCCCCCTGATAATTGGAGAAAGAATACCAGAGAATGAACCAACATGGCTGGTTCTTCTGAACCTTAAGGATATAGTTGAACTTGTACTTTCATCTGTTCATACAGATTCAACTATTTGTTTTCTTGACAGCAAGATTTCTGAGCATCGGCACAGATTCCAGGAAGCTTTCCCTCAGGAAAGGCTTACTCCAAAACACAATTTTCTTGAGCACTATCCACAACTCATAAAATCATTTGGTCCACTAGTTTCTCTGTGGACTATGCGCTTTGAAGCTAAGCACAGCTTTTTTAAGTGCGTGGTGAGGCATACCCACAGTTTTCGAAACATTCTGTTGTCTCTCAGTGAAGCATCAGTTAATGGTTGCATACCATCAACATGCAAATCACATAACTAAGTCTCTACAGACAACAAAACTATCAAATGTGTGTCTGACTGTGCTAAGGGAAGACATTGGTAAAGCCCTTGTAACAGCGTTCCCCAGTGAGTCGTTTGTGCAAATGGCAAACACGGTGTCTTACAGTGGTACTACTTACTCCACTGGAATGATTTTGGCATATGGTTCCACGCTTGCCAGATTTCGTAGAACTCATTCAGATAATTGTTGTAAATGGAAAGGTTGGCTTCATTGTGAAATGTTTAAATGCATGGTATTCTGAACATTTTAGAAGCTCTGAGCTTGAAAACACTAAAAGTGTTAAAGTTATTGAGTCAAGTGAGTTGTCTATTTTCCCAATGGCAGCATACATTGTTTCAGGGAAGCATATGGTGATCCTGAAGCACTGCATTCATTTTCCATAAAGAGCACAATAGCCATTGTACCTGTAGAGCTGCGGTGCAGCAGCAAAAAGGAAAGAGGCAGTCAAGACAGGCTGAGCGCCAAAACCTGTGTGTTTATTATAACGTGCCTAAAACAGCAGAGAGAACCCGCGCTCTCTCCTTGGGCATGCGTCACCAACTCGCACACCCTGCACGCATGAGCAAAAGGTAAGACAATGAATTCTGTCTAAATAGTAGGAGCCCCTACATACCTGGTCATTTAATTGCATAATCAAAAATAGCATCTGCTTCTCTCGTATGGAGTTAAGGTTTTATAAAGAAAATGGGTTACTTGCTGACACTCTGGTTAAAATAGTTTTACTTGATGTTGAATTATTATTTTAAAACCTCGGTGATTTATTGATCAATCTAGTTTTACTTTAGGTACATTACGCTTGAGTGGAAAAGCCTAGCCTCCTCTTGTCATTAACCATATAACAAATGGGTTAAGCTTATTTTGTTTAACTTGGTCAGGATATAAGTTTATTGTTCTCCTATAGAACAATCTGCTTTGGGAAAAAATACCTATGAAAATGTCATGGTTTGACAATGCATAGTGTAACATTAAAAGAAGATTTTTTGAGATGTAATGAGTAGCATCATATCTTACTGCAAAAGTTATATAGTACAAAGCCAAAGCAGTGTGCAAGTTCTGTAAGACTGTTTATGTATTTCTTAAATGTAAAAAAAAAAAAGTACAGATGCCTTTTAAAAATTGAGTATCAGCTGGCTAATCACCAGAGTTAACATTCTACTCTGGTAACTAATGTTTAGTGGGTGTGAAACAAAATTCTGCTGTAAGTCAAACGCAAGTATTATTATTATTTTATTTTTTTACAGACAATGTCTTGTCCAGCTAAACTTCAGGTCATACTTAAGGACCATGACATTCAAAAACTGGACCTACCAAATAGAATCCCTTTAACAGTGGATGAACTTGAATCTATTGTGAAAGATACTTTTCACCTTGAGGGAAACTTTACATTATAAGGATGCTGATTTTGGTGAGGAATATTTTTCTCTTACCTCAACAAATGACATTAAGCACAAAGACAGAATCAAGGTAGTTTACATTGCTGAACCCCCCGTAGTCACTCTGACATTTAGTGATGTGGACAGTTCCTTTGAACGCACAGCAGAGACCTCTGGCAACACTTTAGCAACCTCCAGCATGATTTCAGTAACACCCAGCCGTCCCCATGGCAGCAGTTGCTCACCTGGGGCCTCATGTATAACAACGTGCGTATAATTCACACTAAAACATGGCGTACGGACAGAACTTTTTTGTCTAATAACCAGGACAGGATTGGTAAATTAGATGTTTTAGAACCACTTGACAGTAGCGATCATAACATGGT